TCATGCAGTTCGAGGCCACTAGCTGCTCCTCAGAAGAAGGATGGGTAATCTCCTCCCTTGTGATTAACTGCCTCTGAAAACCCACCGCAGGGTCAGCTATGGATTGGTTCTGACTCTACAGTACACAACAACAACAGTCTCCAGAGTCATTCATGCATTAACATTGAACCCTCGCAGGGCCTCTGACTTAGACTCCTTCCACTGCTGTCCAAGAATGACTCAATCCTTGCTTCCCTGCAAACAGCTTAGACTGTGAAGTATGTGTTTATGATTTGAAATTCTGATTAATCTGCTGAGTGCCACAGGGGATTGGCTTGGAGGGGAGCCCTAGTGGACCAGCATAGCTGGGGTTCAATTCACTCAGGAAGTCTGGAGCTGGGTCCTGATTGTTGGAGAAAAATGTCTTTTTCATTCATCTTATTTGAACTCTGTAATAATCAGTTTCTGTTGTTGATAGAGTAAAATTCACAGCAGCCCTACGAACAACAGATCTTAATGCTGTCTTATCCTGTGCCATCCTCATCATCTCTGACAAACTTGAGCTCTTTGCTGCATCTCTTTGGGGGTTTTCATGGCTTTTGCTGACCCTCCACCTTTCCAAGCATGATATCTCCTTCATAGAGTGGCCCCTACCAACAACATGCCCAAAGGATGTGAGGTGAAGCTTCACCATCCTTGCTCTAAGGAGCATTCTCACTGCACTTTCTCCAGAACATATCTGTTTGTTCTTTTGGCAGCCCATGGGATATTCAGGACTCTTCCCTAACACCATAACTGGGTTTTGTTGGTTTTGGTTTTGGGTTTTTTGTAGTCTTTGGTTTTCTGCAGCAAGCATTCTTTTAGCAGCCAAGGTTGTGTCATCTGCGTAATACAAGTTATTGATGAGTCTTCCTCTAATCCTGATGCCACCTTCTTTCTTCCTAGAGCCTAGTTTCTTAAATGATTTGTTCAGCTTACAAATTGCATAAATATGGAGGCAAGATACAGCCCTGACCATAACTGATTGTAAGTCAGTGCTAGTATTAGTATCTAAAAATATTTCAGCATTGTGTTGTTTGGATACAAATATGATGTTGTTATTTGGGACTGTCAAATTGATGGTGACTCATAGAGACCTTACGTACAACAGAACAAAACACTAGCTAGTCATGCCCCATCCTCACAATTGTAACGTTTGAATCCATGTTGCAGCCACTTTGTAATTCTATCTCATTGAGGATCTCTCTTTTTTTTTCATTTACTCTCTGCTTTACCAAGCATGATGTCACTCTCCAGGGATTGGTCCCTGCTGATAACATGTTCAAAATACATGAGACAAAGTTTTGTCTTCATTGCTTGTAAGGATCATTCTGGCTGTACTTCTCCCGGGAGACAATTTTGTTCGTGCTTTTGGTAGTCCGTGACGTATTCAGTCTTATTCACTACCACCATCATTCAAGGGCATCAGCGCTTCTTGTTCTTCCTTACTTGTTGTCTGGCTTTTTGAATCCATGTATGGGTGTTTGGGTCCTAAGCACCATATCCTTAAATTGATATCTTTGGTTTTTACCCCTTGAAGGACATCTTTAGAGCAGATTTTCCTAATACAATTTCAATTGGATTTTTTAAATTATTGATTCCATCAGAATTTAATCAGAAGCCAAGTAAAATGAAATCCAAACAAATAATCTCCTCTTGTAATCAGAATGTGGGTTCATGCCTAGAATGATGCAAAGCCAATCCAGTCACACTTAGTGAAGAGATACAACAAATATAGTCACTGATAAATCAGCAGGAAAGTAGACAGCACCATGGCATACTCCAGAGAGCTCGGTGGCCTAGTGGTAAGAAGCTGCATTGCACTCCCAAAGGCACATGGTTCGGATCCAGCAACTGCTCCGCAGGAGAAGGATGGCCAGTATTCTTCTATGCAATTTACAGTCTTTGAAGGGTCACCTGCTGGAGGGTGAGCTATGAGTCGATTCTGACTTGATGGCACACACAACAGCATAGCATGCTCTAGATGTCCATCCCTCCTCGGTTGAGCATATGTTGAGCATATGTCATCAGGTGCCATCACGTTGACTACCGTTCATAGCAACCCTGTGAACAGCAGATCTGAACTTGCCCTATCCTGTTCTATCCTTATAATCCCTGATACACTTAACCCCCCTGTTACAAGTCACTGTGTCTGTCTTGTCTTGTTGAAGATCTTCCTCTCTTTCCCTAACCTTCTTCCTTTCTCAATATGATGGCCTTATTCCATGGACCAGTCTCTCCTGGCAGCATGGCCAAAGTATATGAGATGAAGTTTCACCATCTTTACCTCTGAGGAGCACTTTGGTTGCTCTTAGGCCAAGACAGATTTGTTCTTTTGGCAATCCCTGGGATAGTCAGTACTCTTCTCCAACACCACAGTTCAAAGATATAGTTCTTCTTCAGTCATCCTCATTCATTGTCCGACTTTCAAATGCATAGGAAGCAATTGAAAATACCATGGCTTGAATCAGGTGCATTTTAGATTTTCAGTTGATGTCCTTGCTCTTAAAACTTTGGAGAAATCCTTGACGGAGGATCTTTTGATTTCTTGACTGCTGTTACCATGAATGTTGATCATGGATCTAAGTAAAATTGTTAACAACCTCGGTCTTTTCCTGTGTATCATGATGTTGCCTATCAACCCAGTAGTGAGGATTTTTGTTGCTTGATGTTGAGAAGTAATCCATATTGAAGGCCTATATACAGCCTTTGATTTTCTTCAGTAAGTGCTTCAAGTCATCTCCACATTATGCAAGCCAAGTTATATCATCATTATAACTCAAGTTGTTGATAAGTCTTTTTCCAATCTTGATGCTACCCACATTCTTCTACATATAGTCTGTTGTTGTTGTTATATACGGTGGAGTTGGAACTGACCCATAGTTGACCCTCTGGCGGGTTTTTAGAGGCTATTAATCACACAGGAGGAGATTGCTCATCCTTCTCCCGCAGAGCAGCTGATGGCCCCAAACCGTGTGCCTTCAGGATTATAGCACAGCTTCTTGCCATTAGGCTACCAGAGCTCTCCTAGGTGTAGGCTTCACATAAGCACAGTTAGGTGTTCTGGGATTCCCATTCTTCTCAGTGTTAGCCATAATTTGTTATGATCCACACAATCAAATGCCTTTACATAGTCAATAAAACACAAATAGACATTCTTCTGGTATTCTTCATTTTCAGCCAGGATATATCTGACATCAGCAATGAAATCCTTGCTACCACAGCCTCTTGTAAATCTAGCTTGAACATCTGTCAATTCTCTGTCTATGTCCTGTTCTAGTTCTTGTTGTTGTTAAGTGCTATTGAGTCATAGACAACTCATAGTGACCCTATGAATGAAAGATTTGAACACTTGTACAGCTTTTATCGTTTCTCAAAGTTTGTACAGTTTCTGGAGGCAAGCTGTTTTAGAACTGGATGCCACTCCTGCTTCCAAGTTCTAGCTGTAGCTTCTCAAATTATTATAGATATAGAGAGATATATAATTTATAAATGTTCATGGGAAAGGCTGATATTATCCACATTCCATATCCCGCTCTCAGAGTTAGTCTACAAAAGGATATAGGGCAAAGACTGCTGTCAGTTTCTACTATAAATTTTATCTTTAGCCTTTGGTTAGCATTAGCCGTAGGTAGATTCCTTTTTGCTTCAGAGTTAAATGGGTCCTGTTTTTCTAAATTTCATTGTCCTTGGAACTGGGCCTAGGGATTTTGTGAATTTCCTTTAGGTTTTTTTCTAGAAAGCTATAGTCATTAGCATTTTGTGGCATGGCCAACTACTAGATGTGAAGTTGCTTCCAATCTTCCAAATAACAGCCTCTGCTTGGACTTTCTTAGGTTTTTACTGTATTAACTTATTCCAGAACTATATTTTTTCCTACAGAGATTACTATTTTATTTTTGATATTAGAGTTCTGTCATTAAATTGGAGCTCTGTTGGCCTAGTGGGTAAGAAGTTGTGCTGCCAACCCAAGGGTGTGGAGTTCAAATTCACCAGCTGTTCCACAGGAGAAAGATGGGCAGTCTCTTCCTGTGCAATTTACTGACTTTGAAAACTCACTAGAGGGTCATCTGTAAATTGGCTCTGACTTGTTATCACATAATAACAACAGCATTAAATTAATGAGGCCTAGTAGAGAGAGAAAGAGAGAGAGAGAGATCAGCTGGCCCAGTGAAGAGAAAACGATGTGACCAAGACAAAGGTGGGTCTCAGGCCAGTCTTTCATTGTTTTTGTTCAGACATTCCTCTAGGTCGTATAGCCCTGGTGTACAAGTTGCTGTCCTGCGGTCGCTTGTGGTTGCTGTGAGGCTGAACCCTGTGACACGGATGTGTCAAATGCATTAATGGTTGGCTACCCAATGTGGACTGAGAGTGGGGTGGAGCTCCCCGATTAAACAAGCGTGGAAGGAGGAGTGGCATCCACTTCCATAATAGCTTGCCTCTAGAAACCCTATGAACTTGGAGAGAGGATGAAAGGCACCCAAGTGTCAAGGATTCTCCTTCATAGGGTCGCTATGAGTCGCCTGCGACTCGATGGCACTTAACAACAACAGTATATAGTTGGTTGTGGATTGTGTTGTACTGATAACTAAAAAGTTGACAGTTCCGCATATATTAGCCACTCTATGGGGAGTGGCGGGAGTGGAGGGAATGGGCTATCTCCTCTTATCAGTATTCACAACCTTGGAAACCCTGATAGAGGGTGACCATGAGTGAGAATTAACTGGATGGCAGTGCTTTATCCTTAAGTTGCTTTTATCAAATTGGAGGACTCAACTACTAACAGTTTATATCCTGTCACATGCTAAAGTCATGTGGTTTGAAAACAGTTGTTTCTTAACCACCTAATGTGGCCCTGTAAGAAGGTTGTGGATGCAGAAAGCAGCGAGTGGGAGGTTTGTATTGGTGTAAGACGTGGCCCTGTTCTTGGAAACTTCTGTTGAATCCCTGTAAATAATAACCCTTCTGCTTTTCTCCCCTAGAATATCGTGTTAAAGAATGGTTCTGAAGCCTTTGACTCCTGGGAGAAGCCTCCTCTGCCCGTGTACACCCAGTTCTATTTCTTCAACGTCACCAATCCAGCGGAAATCCTCAATGGGGAGATCCCTCAGGTTATAGAAGTGGGGCCATACACCTACAGGCAAGTCTCCCTGCCACACTGTCCCTCTGGGAAAGCATGGTGCTGCTTGCTGTGTAGAGAACACAGATTTGGATTTTATTCTGTCTTAGATGCTGCCACTGGTTAGAAGGGTGGGGTGTGTGTGTGTGCGTGCGTGTGCCTAGCAGACCACAGCTTTGTTTGACTAGGCTGAGTTTGATGGTGTTATGTTCAGAAATGGAGCTACTTCCTCCTGAATCACAGAATATAGTTATTTTACATCTTTTGCCATTTATTTTTAACATTTTATTGTGGTAAAATACATGTTGTTATTGTTGTTAGGTGCCAGTGAGTTGAGTATGACTCATAGCGACCCTATGAACAAAGGATCTGAACGTGTTCTATCCTGTGTCATCCTCACACTTCCCAACAAGAGACCATTGCAGCAGTCACCATATCACTCCACCTGGTCAAGGGTCTTCCTCTCCTTAGCTGACCCTCTACCCTTCCAAGCATCATGTCCTCCTCTAAGGAATAGCCCCTCCTAGCCACATGCCCAAAGTATGTGAGATGAAGCCTCATCCTTCTTACCTCCAAAGAGCACTCCAGCTGCACCCTCTGCAAGACATATCTGTTTGTTCTTGTGGTCATCCATAAAATGTTCAGTGCTTTTCTCCAACACCACAGCTCAAAGGTGTCAATTCTTATTCTGACATCCTTATTCATTGTCCAGCTCTCAGATGTATAGAAAGTAATCAGAAAGACTATGGCCTGAATCAGACACACCTTAGTCCTCAAACTGACATCATTAATAATTTAGAGAGGTCCTTAACCACAGATTTTCCCAGTGCAATGCATCTCCTTATTTTCTGAATGCCAGTAGTAAGGCATAAAAGTAAGGCAGCCTAACATTTGCCATTTCATCCCTTTTTTAAGTGTACAATCTTGTGACATTCCAGAAACTCTATGAACTGGGAGAAACTATGAAAGTTATACAGGTGTTTAGATCTTTTGTTTATAGGGTCACTATGAGTCATCTACGACTCAATGGCACTTAATAACAACAACAATAAGGAGAGATCTCAGTTGGCCTAGTGGATAGAAAGTTATGCCACCAAGCCAAAGGTGGGTGATTTTAATCTGCAGCCCTCAGGCCTGGTTTTAATTGTTTCTGGTCAAACATTCTTTTGAGTGGTATAGCACTGGTCTGTCCATTTGCTGTACAGAGGTAACTCGTAGTTACTGTAATGCTAAACACTGTGACACTGATGTTTCAAATGTGATAATGGTTATCCATTATGGACAGTGTTTGGTGGAGCTCCTCAATTAAAACAAGCTTGGAAGCAGGAGTGGCATCCACTTCCGAAATAGTTTGCCTCTAGAAACTCTATGAACTTAGAGAAACAATGAAAGTTATACAAGTGTTCAGGTCTTTCGTTCATAGGGTCGCTATGAGTCATCTACGACTCGACGGCACTTAACAACAACAACAATGTTATACAGCCAAAACCACTATATTCATTCCAAAACTTTTTGCTCACTCCAAATCCATAATGCAATCACTCCCCACTTCCCCCTGGCCCGAGCCCCTATTAATCACTTACTTACTTTGGTCTATGTGCATTTAAGTAGTGAGCAGCTAACCAGTGCTTAAATGGCAGTTCAAGCTCACCAGCACGAGAAAAATAGGCAGCCTCTTCCTGTTAATATTTATAGGAAAGATGGTGTAGAGCATAGTGTACAGGAATGAAACACAGAGTTGTTGTGGTTGTTATGTGCCGTCGAGCTGCTTGCGACTCATAGCACCCCTATGTACAACAGCCCTAAACCCTGTTCAGTCCTGTGCCAATTGCACTGTCTCCGACACACCCACCCTGATTACCCCAGTCACTGAATCAATGTAAATAAAGAGAAAATGTTTTTTAAATGAAAACCCAAAAACAGTCTTTTCAGCCTTAGAAACTTGATGGAGCGTATTCTTGAGTCAGAACTGACTTGAGGACAGTGGGTTTGGTTTTTTGTTGCTGTTGGTTTTAGAAATCTCATATGGGTAGGGTCATGCCATATTTGTTCTTTTGTATCTGGCTTATTAACTTAATGTAATATTTTCAAGGCCTTGTAGTGTCATGTATTAGAATGGCGCTTCATCTCTCCTTATGGCTGAATAATATTCCATTGTAGACACAATTTGTTTATCCACTCATGCTCTGATGGACACTTGGGTTGTTTCCAGAATGTCATTATTAAGCCATTGAAGAGCTTCTTCCCATCCGTGATCCTTTGAGGGTTGTCCTTGATGTCCTTTGATTACCTTTAGGGCCTCTCATTATCACTTTCAGTACATACCTAGCCTTAAACCACTTTCCAGAATTAGTTACTGCTCTGCAAGGAACTTCTTACTGCTTGTGGGCCTCAGTTTAGGAAAGGTCCTTTATGTCTCTTCATATTCTTTTTCCTGCTCCTCCCTCGTGTGAATGCGAACCAGGAAGCTAGGTGCCCTGGTGGCACAGGCCAGAGAACTGTGCTGCACAGCACATGGTTTAAATCCACCAGTTCCTCCAAGGGAGAAAGATGAGCAGACTCCCCACACTGCGATGTACAACGAAGATCATTTATGGGTCAGAGCTGACTGGCAGCAGTGAGTTTGAGTTCTGAGACTGTGTGAGACTCTTTGCCTAAATCTGTTCCTGTGGAGTCAGTTTTGCACCCTAGCAGTCCTGTGGGATGGGTAGAACTGCCCTATGCGGTTTCCAGAGCTGTACTCATGGACGCAGACGGCCAGGGTTCTTTCCCTGCGCAGTTGCTAAGTTCAGACTCCTCACTTTTTGGTGGGCAGACAAGCACTTACCTGCTGCGACAGAGCTCTTGGATTCTCTTTGTCAGTCCTAGTTTGAAGCCTTGGGTGATTTAGGGAGAGTTTCAGATCATCACTTTTTAAAGTTTTGTGGAGGAAGCAGCCAGGATCTTTTGTTCTTGAGAACTGCTAATTTTTTTTTTTAATGCCTTGTGATTCTGTCATTATCGATTGCACAATAAATGGTTTCTTGGTGAATCATTTACATATAGTTTATCAGCACTATTTTTGGTGCCGAGAATTTTAAGATAGAAACCCTGCATTGGTTGCTCATGGGTTGGGTATGGAGTCAGATTGCCTGTTTGAAATCCTTCCTCCGCTTGTTACTCCTTCTCTTTGCCTCAGTTTTCTTATCTATAAAATGAGCATAAAAACGGGACCATCCACCATAGGACTGATTAGAAGATTCATCACCGAGTCAATGTTTTTAAAGTGCTTGGACAAGCGCTTAGCACATGTCGGTGTTACTAGCCATTGTCACATCACACCCTGACTCACAGCAGCCATATTTATAGCAATACTCTGCTCCATTGTGCACCATGATCAGTTGCAGATCAGACCACTGGGATCTCTTGAGATTTTCATTGGCCAGTTTTAACAGGGCCTTTCTTGCTAGTCCACTTGAACCTCAGAGCTTCACTGAACACCAGGCAGCATTGTAGCAACTCAAGCCTTCACTGACAGAGTGGTACAGTTTGTACTTACTTGGCAGGGTATCGAACTCTGGTTTTCTGCATGAAATTCAAGAATTCTACCACTAAGCCGTGGTTGTTCCTTTACTTTGTATCTAACACATGATTTTTTAAAAAAGCACTGCTGTTGAATTGGTTCCAGATTATGGTACCTTTGGTCTCGTTTCTGAGGCTGTGCCCCTGGTGGACTGGCTTAGCAACACAACTCCCTGTGGACTAAGCAACCAGAACTCTCATCTAACTCATAATAAGTTCTCATAATTATGTCTATGCTCGATTATCTAAGGCGATTATCTTAGTCTATACAAATCAAATTAAAGAACTGTAAAGATAGGCCGTATTGGTTACATGAAGGTAATGGGGAGAAAAAAGTCTCCAAAACAAAACAAACCACTTGGGCTTTAACTAACTTGAGTTCCTTGCATCGTGCAAACAATTAAGGTACTAACTGGAAGTTGGAGGATTTTAATCCATCCAGAAGCTGTTTATACGAAAAGCCTAACAATCTACTTCTGAAAACTTATGCGACCCTGTGGAGCTCAGTGCCAATCTGAACCACATGGGTTGACACACATGAGGTTGCCATGGGAAGTGAGCCCATGGCAACTGTTTGGTTCTAACCAGTTGACTCCTGAGAAAAGCCCGGAAACAGCTTCCAGAGCTTTCTGACCTGAGATCCACAAGTCCCTGAGTGAGTTTGTTAGGGAAAATTAGGTGTGAAAACATGACATCTTTTTTTCACTAACATCTTGCTACACATTTCTTTCAAGTATGAATGCGTGCTACAAGCCACGTAGTGTTAGCAGCATCTGTGACTTCATCACTCTTGGTGGCAGTTACACAGCCAGTTCTCCTTAAAGCTATTGCTCAAAATATCATGCATATTCATAAATACTCTGGAATTACAGTCATCTTTCTGTCTGCTCTGACAGTGTTATTTTAGGTGCTAGCAAAGCACACATGCTGCCATATAGATTTTTTTAATGATAGCTATATTTTAATGTAATTACTTTCTTTGTAATCCTGGGTATTCTATTTTCGGTATTAAAAAGCATTTGTCCGAAAAATCATCCATATGCTTCACCAGACTTCCCACTGGATCCGTGGCACGTGGTGAGTTAGAGCCCTGAGAGCAGTTATAGTAGGTTGGAAAGCAAGTTGACCCGCCATTGACCGTGTCTAGTTAGCTTCCATCCTGGATTTTCCACCGTTTTTTCCACTGGCCCTCATCTTTCCTACACTCTGTTCCCAGAGTGATTACCCAGAGGGCATTTCTGACATTTCCATCTCCTTCCCTGCTCAGATTTCTAGTGACTCTACTTGTTTGGCATTCAGAGACTCTATAATAATGGGGTTTTTTTGGCACTTTCAACCTAGAACTTTATCTGTTAATCCAGAGTGGTCCAGTAGAAACTGAATGTGAGCCACGATTTAAAATTTTCTGGTAGACACATTGAAAAGGTAAAAGGAAGCAAGTGATATTTATTTTAATCCTGTGTT